GGAGTTATAGAGAGAGGTTATATGGAGTAATAGGAGGAGTTATAGGGAGAGGTTATATGGAGTAATAGGAGGAGTTATAGAGAGAGGTTATATGGAGTAATAGGAGGAGCTATAGAGAGAGGTTATATGGAGTAACAGGAGGAGTTATAGGGAGAGGTTATATGGAGTGATAGGAGGAGTAATAGGGAGAGGTTATATGGAGTAATAGGAGGAGTTATAGGGAGAGGTTATATAGAGTAATAGGAGGAGCTATAGAGAGAGGTCATATAGAGTAATAGGAGGAGCTATAGAGAGTAAGAGTATGGAGCAATAGAGGAGTTATAGGAGGGTATATGGAGTGGGTTGTGGATGAGCTATAGAGAGAGAGGTCAATATATAATAGGAGGAGCTATAGAGAGAGTGTTTATATGGAGTAACAAGATGAGCTATAGGAGAGGTTATATGGAGCAATAAGAGGAGTTATAGAGAAAGTAAGCCATATGAGCACTGGAGGAGTTTGAGAGGAGAGCATATAATAGGAGGAGTTATAGAGAGAGGCCATACAGAGTTGTATAGTGGAGAGCTATAGAGAGAGAAGTCATATAGAGTAATAGATGGAGCTATAGAGAGAGTGTCAAATGGAGTAATAGGAGGAGTTATAGGGAGAGGCCATATAGAGTAATAGGAGGAGTTGGAGAGGTTACAGATAATAGGGAGGAGTTATAGGGAGAGGTTATATGGAGTAATAGGAGGAGTTATAGAGAGAGGTTATATAGAGTAATAGGAGGAGTTATAGAGAGAGGTCATATGGAGTAATAGGAGGAGTTATAGGGAGAGGTTATATAGAATAATAGGAGGAGTTATAGAGAGAGGTTATATGGAGTAATAGGAGGAGTTATAGAGAGGTTATATGGAGTAATAGGAGGAGTTATAGGGAGAGGGTATATGGAGTAATAGGAGGAGTTATAGAGAGAGGTTATATAGAGTAATAGGAGGAGTTATAGAGTAATAGGAGGGGTTATAGGGAGACATTATAGGGAGTAATAGGAGGAGTTATAGTGAGAGGTTATATGGAGTAATAGGAGGAGTTATAGAGAGAGGTTATATAGAGTTATAGGAGGAGTTATAGAGAGAGGTTATATAGAGTAATAGGAGGAGTTATAGAGAGAGGTTAAATGGAGTAATAGGAGGAGTTATAGGGAGAGGTTATATAGAGTAATAGGAGGAGTTATAGAGAGAGGTTATATAGAGTAATAGGAGGAGTTATAGGGAGAGGTTATATGGAGTAATAGGAGGAGTTATAGAGAGAGGTTATATAGAGTAATAGGAGGAGTTATAGAGAGAGGTCATATGGAGTAATAGGAGGAGTTATAGGGAGAGGTTATATAGAGTAATAGGAGGAGTTATAGAGAGAGGTTATATGGAGTAATAGGAGGAGTTATAGAGAGGTTATATGGAGTAATAGGAGGAGTTATAGGGAGAGGGTATATGGAGTAATAGGAGGAGTTATAGAGAGAGGTTATATAGAGTAATAGGAGGAGTTATAGAGTAATAGGAGGGGTTATAGGGAGACATTATAGGGAGTAATAGGAGGAGTTATAGTGAGAGGTTATATGGAGTAATAGGAGTTATATGTTATATGTATAAAATAAATACAGTTTGAATTACTGGTTTAGCATAGCAGATTTACAAATAATCCTAATATGTGTTGACATATAAGTGTGTGTTTCTTTGTTTCATTTTCTTTTTGTTTAGTAAGGTTAAAACAGAAGTATGAAATGTGATCCTATAACTGGCGGAAGGCCTGTAATCCAGCAATGCAAATCCAAGGCCAGCGTTAAATCCGATTTCATTAGCGATGCATACAGATCCCGCTATGTCAGGAATGGATGGCAAATATTTCAGCATACAGTGATAACCCCTTCACTGCCAAACCATTTCCAACTATTGCTCAATTCAAGAACATTCCATTTATTAAATGATGACCTCTCATTGGTTTTATACAAGTCCAATCTATTGAGCCATGTGACACCTGCCACCACACCAGCACTTCTGGTAGACTCAGTTTGTCCACATGGTGATGCCTATGGGGACTGACAAGAGGAACAAGGGTTATTGTCATTTGAGCAGCTCTTATTCTAAAAAAATGGGGCAGAGAAATTCCACATGCAGCCATAAAATATGAAATAACCAGGAGATATTGCAGCATTCCCTGCATGCCTGGATCACTTCTGGGCTTCCTTTATGAGAGTAATATGATTTGTTACCTTTATTTCTTGTTTTTCATGTCTGTTATCTGTTACATAGTGATCTAGATTGAAAAAAAGACTAAAGTCCATCAAGTTCAACCTTCAAAACCCATTATTTTATGCTGTTGGTTGAAAAGAAAAATCCTCCTCGATGCCGTAACATTCCTTTTGTTGTTCTTATGAGTGTTTCTTACATCTAACTCATTTTTTTTGGCCTTTCCACTCCATCCTGTAAAAACTGCCAGCTTGTCACACATTAAAGGACCACTATAGTGCCAGGAAAACATACTCGTTTTCCTGGCACTATAGTGCCCTGAGGGTGCTCCCACCCTCAGGGTCCCCCTCCCGCCCGGCTCTGGAAGGGGGAAAGGGGTTTAAACTTACCTTTTTCCAGCGCTGGGCGGAGAGCTCTCCTCCTCCGATCCTCCTCTTCTCCTCCCTGTCGGCTGAATGCGCACGCGCGGCAAGAGCTGCGCGCGCATTCAGCTGGTCACAGTGAGAAGCACGCAAGCGCCTCTAGCGGCTGTCAATGAGAATAGGGGAAGGCTTAACCCATTCATAAACATAGCAGTTTTGCTGAAACTGCTATGTTTATGAAAAAATCGGTTAACCCTAGCTGGACCTGGCACCCAGACCACTTCATTAAGCTGAAGTGGTCTGGGTGCCTAGAATGGTCCTTTAAGGAGAATCAGGGGGTGGCAATCATGATGGTTTTACGAACCCATGGGGGCCTTGCTTCCCAAGCCCCACATCAGCCTTCTGTAGCTGTGGAACTGTCGTCGGTGTACCTGCACCGGGGCCCACCGGGTGGCACATGCACTTAGGTCCACCCAATGGACATATACTTTCAGCTGCCTGATCAGTGCTGTGGCCCTTTAATAGTGCGACTGGGCCCCTTAAATTATGTCAGCCACGATCAAAGCAATGCCGGGAGGAATTGACAGCAGGTCACTTCCTCCCAGCTTACTTTGCGCAGGAGAGAGGAGACAGAGCAGAGGCAGTGAGGGAAGAGCCAGACCGACTCCCATCAGCCCCAGCCACCCTCCTGCATCCAAAAGGTAAGAAACAGGAGGGTGGCTGAAAAATGTACTGCCTGTGTGTATCTTTATGTATGTTAATATGTATGTATGTCAGTCAGGCCCGGATTGACCATCAGGCACTCCGGGCAAATGCTCGGTGAGCCGCGATGGCAATGGGCCAAGCACCAGCCCTAAGAGGGATTTCTGTCACCTCATGGGCTGAAGGGGCGATCGGTCAATGAGTTGGTGCTCCATGCATGCAGGGCAGTCAGTCTCTTTCTTCTTGCGAGTGCCGATATCATCAGAGTGTTGCCATGGTAACCCGCAGCAACGCTCTAAAATACCAGCGCTCGTGATCAGTTTGTGGCGTACTCCCTCTCACTGGACCACCAGGGATCTGCGTGCTCCTTATTCCCTGCAATGTAATAAGGAGAAGGGGGAGTAAATGTGATTTACATTTTTAAATTTTATTTAAGCCCCTATCCTACCCCCTATATACACACCCTCACATACTTACACATACATAGTACACACACTCTATACCCCCTGCATTGACACACTATTATTATAACAGCCCATGTCATTATAACAGCCCTGGTCAGAGCATTATAGCAGCCCATGGCAATATAACAGCCCTAGTCAGAGCATTATAGCAGCCCATGGCAATATAACAGCCCTAGTCAGAGCATTATAGCAGCCCATGGCAATATAACAGCCCTGGTCAGAGCATTATAGCAGCCCATGGCAATATAACAGCCCTAGTCAGAGCGTTATAACAGCATTGGCATTATAACAGCCCTGGTTAGAGCATTATAGCAACCCATGGCAATATAACAGCCCTAGTCAGAGCGTTATAACAGCATTGGCATTATAACAGCCCTGGTTAGAGCATTATTGCAGCCCATGGCAATATAACAGCCATGGTCAGAGAGTTATAACAGCATTGGCATTATAACAGCCCTGGTTAGAGCATTATAACAGCCTTGGTCAGAGCATTATAGCAGCCCATGGAAATATAACAGCCCTGGTCAGAGCATTATAACAGCATTGGCATTATAACAGCCCTGGTTAGAGCATTATAACAGCACTGATCAGAGCATTATAACAGCATTAGAATTAAAACGGCCCTGGTTAGAGCATTATAACAGCCCTTGGCATTAGAACAGCTCTGGCCACAGTATTATAACAGCCCTGACCACAGTTCACAATGAGCTCTGTCTCCTATTAACTCTCTGTGGCAAAGATGCCTCTGCCACGAGCTCCTGGAGGAGCCTGCTAGCTAGCCTCCTGCCCAAGGACTATGGGTCGTATCTAAAGACCCTGTTTGGAAGTTAAATCTCTCACAGCTTTCCCTGGGTGCCCCCTGGTTCTGGGTG